TGCCACGGTTACAACCCTACTACCGTGACAACCACAGAGCTTACGATTCGTCAGACGAATCGGACGACCCTTGCCAGCCTTCGGGTCAGGGCCTGCGAACCAGGCAGATAGAACCTCAGGCCAAAGATCTGAAGCGTTTTGACCCAGATAGCCCAGATTCAAGTATTAACGACTACCTTAGAGAAGTTGACCATTGTCTCCTTGACCTGCCTCATGCGTCCTCACATGAAAAACTGAAACGGATCTGGAAGACTACGGCTAGGAGTGTCCGTGATTTCATGGGGACACTCCCACCAAAGGTGACACCCTTTCACACCTTCACAGGTTTGAATCACCACATAGGAAGGATGGTGACTTCTCAGCCCCCAGAGGCAGAGAAAACACCAGGCCCCCTCCTGCTACCTGTAGACAAAAATTCACAAGTGAGGCTTAATTAGGTCTGGGCAGAATTAGCTTTAGAGAGTGTTTTTAACAATTGTGGATCGAAGCAGAAACTGTAATTTTTATCTTTGTTGGACCGCTGCGTCCTGAGTTTTACCTGTTTAAAACTCTTGTTTTTGTTTCGGACCGCTAACACCCGATTGCTCCCTCTGGTTCGTCGGCAGTGTGTGAATGTGTATGAATGGATGAGTTAATACTGACGGACTCTTCCCACAGCGGCCTCTACCATCAGTGTGTGAATGTGTATGAATGGATGAGTTAATACTGATGGACTCTTTACTCAGCAGCCTCTACCGTCAGTGTATGAATGTGTATGTGTGACCTGCGGTATAAAAGCGCTTTGAGTAGTCCGAAGACTCAACAAGCTGAAGTCCATTTACCATATCAAGACCTGGTACTGACTGCATGGATGGTCGGTTACTATTTGAGGATTCACGGTAGTTAACATCAATTTCACCTCCAGTGACTAAGTCATTTTTACTGTAGCTCAAAGTTTTCCCTACAAAGTTCTTTGTTAGATTGTATGACACATTGGGACTTTTTGTTTCTGCAGCCAATGAAGATGCAGATGGAGGCTGATAAAATGACGAGTCAGTGTTCAGCTGGGACAGGTAGATGTAGGAGAGTCAGCAGCAGACCTCGTAAACCTCCAGATGGGATGTGTTAACAAACTTTCAAAACAGCATCACCTAGTATAACTCTGATTTCTCTCTACACATCCAAACTGTCTGCAGCTCTCCCAGTTGATCTAGCATTCGCACAGAATCAGCAGTGTTGATGATTCTTCCACCTCAGATTGTTTTATAGATTTTTCATTTTCTCTTCCTACTCTGCGATTCTCTTGATCTGATTTGAATTGTTCCGTCTAAATCTGGAAAGAAATACATCTAAAAAACTTCAGCTCAACTGGACAACTGGATTGAATATTGTTTACACAGAATCTTTGGATTCCATCATGTTTTTAGGTTTTTCAGTTCTCTCTTCAGAGAAATGAGCCACCTCTGCTCTTTGTGATATTTGTTTGATGACGTGCTTCTTGTTAATATTTGATTTTTCTTTTGTATGTATTTCCTGATAAACCTTTGGAAAGTTCTCAGGCACAAAGAGAGGACCCACTTCATGTTAAATGTTGAAAAATATGCTTCATGATGCTGTATTTTGGATTGCCGTAGAAGAACACCTGAACCTCTCTGTTCTTAGACTCTGGACTAAGAAAGGCAGAACTTTAGGATAGGACAACAGAGAGGGAATCCCTCCACTACAAACTGCTGACGGGCATAAAGTGAGAACATCACGTTTACCTGGTGAGAGCTTGTAATGTTTTTATCTCCACAACTCATTCACAGGTGTTCCCCCGGTTGCTTCTCTCTCTCTATATTGGATATATAGCGAGTGTCGGTGAGTTTGAATTGAAGCGAACCTTTTGGCAAATTTGAAGTCAATTCCTTCAGCTTTTTTTTTTTGACAGGTAAAAAGAAAACGTGCGATATATCGACGTACCTCCAAAAAAACACATAAAACAGAGCCTCATAATGTAAGCTGTGTGCCTTGATAAACTGTGCAGGTCAAATATAATTACTGCTGCTTCTCTGCTCTCACAAAGCCTGAAACTTATTTTGAATATTATATACTTAAAGTGATACTTCGTGTTTTAATTCTCTGACTGATCAAACTGTTCACAGATTCAGAAGTTTGAATGTGATCGTTGGGTAAACATTACAGATCATGAACTCCTCTCCATAAAAATCTGTATTCATGGTGAGATAACATGAATGATATGATGAGTTGAATAACTGAATTAGATGACAGGCTGTGCTGGATTTATTTTAGTGTTTGATCAGATAGAGCAATGGGCTCTGTGCAGTGATTTCATTTAGGTTGTGGGCTTCTTCTTTGTTTACAGGACAATCATATCTGAATTCTTTGGCATTCATTTCAAGCATTTCTTCTGCCATCTGAAGTCTGTTATAATAAACAATCTGAACACATGAAACAGCTTTGTCACCTGCTTCCCTGTCTCTTTCCCAAGCTCACACCTTCTCTTGCTAAGTGACAGACGTGAGCTTCAGCTCGACCTGTTTACATTTGAAATCTGAGCTGAATCGTGACAGGTAAATCCTGAATCAGTGAAATATTTTTCATGTTGACCAATAACCAGAGAATCTTTAAGGGGACATTGTTGGCACATTGTTGATCAGGATTTTGTCGGATCGATGGTATCGGGCTCTTAGTTCATGTATTCTCTGTGTCCTCAGATCTGAGTTGGTAGGATTGCTCAAAAGATGTGTGCTTTGTCTTGCAGTGATGTTTGACATTGTTGCATTTAACAGTTGCAAGGATGTTGAAACATACGAGGCATATGATGTATTGGACCTCAGCCATGCGTGCTGGACAAAGGACTCAGGCCTGTACCGCAGTTCTCAAGGCTGACTAGAGTTATTCTGGAGGGAACTATACAAAGGGGTCTTAGCCCAGCACCCCCCAACAGCACCTAACAAATAGGTGTGAAAAGTGTGTGTGTGTGGGTGGGGGTGTCTGAATTCTCTATCCTTGTTGGAGGAGGCCTGAGGTAAACCCACAGGCAGTCCCAGTCCTTAAAAGCAATCGCCTCGCATTGCTCTTTCTCTTCAAGTGTGGTCTGCCAACACCAGAGGATTCCCTCTCCCATATGATGGACTCCAGCATTTGAGGAGACAAACCCTTTCCTGCTCTTGACTTACATAAGTTAAACTCCAGAGCTGAGGTTGCTCAATCTAGGTAGCTCTTCACATGCTGAATTCAAGCATCAGAGGATTCAGCTGACTACTTCCACAGAGCTTTGGGCGCAATCAGATGCTATCAGGTTCGAGCAAAAGGAAGAGTTTCTAACCCTATCCCTAACCCTGATTTTTCTTAAGACGTCATTGAATGCAACTGGATAGGAGCGCTGAAGAAAGCCCACTGATCCCTGAATCCACAAGGACACATAAAGATCTCGGCTCCTGCCACCAGAAAGACAATAGAGCATTGCTCTTGTCTCAAATCTGAATCCCGTTACCCTCCTCCTACATCTGCCACAAAGGAAACCTGCCTGAATCTGTTGATCTGTTAATTCAACAGAGTGACGATCTAACCAACTTTGCAACAATCACCAGGAGTTACCCCAAGTAAGAGCTTTGGTCTGGGCAGAAATAGTTTCAGAAATAGTTATGTTTCTTTTATAACCACTGATAATTATGCATCATTGTTGACGTCACATTCTGTTTATTATCTGTTGTAAGCTGCTGCATTTGTTTTATTGTAATGAACTGCTGTGTTCGTCTATGTGTTTAATGCTATGCTAGTTTACCTTCAGTCAACAGCTTTCACAATCAGAAAGACCAGTGTACCCGCCGTTGAATCAAAGTCCGGCCACTGGCTTTCTGGTGTTTAAGTAACAGTTACTGAACTCAGCTCAGAGAGCTCAAACTATTTCAAAAGGTAGCCACACGGCTTCCTTTGTTGTCCACCATTTTGTCACCATGTGGCGAAGCGTTGTCTCTCTCCACCATCTTGTTTTGTCTCTCTCTCTCTCTCTCATCCACACACACACACACACACACACACACACACACACACACACACACACACACACACACACACACACACACATAACTACACTTTTACACCTCATTCACAAGCCATGCTTGATAATGTTTGTTTGCTTAGATTAGTTTATAATAGTTATTTGTTTGATTAAGTTCATTGATTTTGGGTTGATGTTGCTTTGTTTAAATAAATTCTGTTATAATTTAAGAGAGCAGTTGTTTGTGGTTACTGGTGTATTTACATTGTGATATAAGCTGGGTATGAGGGCTTTGTGTACAGATTTCACGCCTTCAATTTATTAAATACAGTTATTAATAATATTAGTAATTAAGTAACTAATTTGAGACTGATTTTAGTGATATTTTGGTTATTTTTTCCTGGTTTCAGGGTGGTGCCCTGAGTCAATTAAACATAGTTTAATAACATTGTTATTAATATTAATAAATAATTAAATATAATTATTAATAATATTTGACTTGATAAAACCCCCACAGTTTGAACTGCCCATGGGCGACATGAACATGTGACAGTCTGTCAATTCTTGATGAAAATATCTGTCTGCTTTTCTAATTTCAGAGCACACCATGTCGACTTTTCCCACGACTCATTTTAGCTGTTTTTACAAATGCACTCCTGAAAAACGTCTAGAAAATTTCAGGCCTGCTTCCGGATATTCTCCTGATCTGGCTGTTCAGATATGCACCTCACAGCCAGATTCCCTGTCAGACAGGAGGATGGGTGGGATGTGTCTTGAGGTAAGACATGATGTTAAAAAAACACATCGTAAGTAGTGGATGAAGCAACAGTCATCTATACTATGCTGTAATCAGAATTATTGCCTTTGTATCAAGGTTGATACAAAGGTTGATGTTAATGAATACACCAACTCTCACCCTAGAGACTTTAGGAAAAAGAGAGGGTGGGGAACTCACCATATTGTGTTGACTAGCACTGTCGATACAACAACCGATACATTTCTTTTTGCAGACGTTTTAATAGTTTTGTAAAGAATTGGGGCCAGTTTGGACAAAGTTACACCATGAGAGCATCTTCACAATGTGCTGTCTTATCTCAGCTGTTCTCATGCCATAGATGATGGGGTTGAAACAGCTCGGAAAGAACAGATACATGATACTGATGAAAACCCGAATGGCTGCAGGGAGACCATTTCTGATCCGATAGGACAGGAATGCTATGAGTATGATGGATAGACTGACAGTGTTGACCACAATGTGGGTCACACAGGTGTGGAGAGCTTTGACCCTTGACTTTCCAGACCTCAGCACAGAGCTGAATATGATGATGTAGGAGACAGCGATAATGATGAAGTCTGCCACAGGGATAAGGAACACAGAGATCAACCCCACCAGACTGTTGACGATGGTGCTTCCACAGGCCAGCTCCACCAAGGCCATGTGCTCACAGAAACAGTGGTCTATCACATTTCTGAGACAGAATGGTAATAATCCTGCCAAATTTACTGCAAGTGAGAGGGAGTGCAGATGGCAAAGTATCGGTCCAGGGCCATCCAAACCAATAACGAGGACGAGCCAATCAGAGAGATTCCCCTCCAGTCAAACAGGAAGTTCAGCAGCATGTTGGGAACAAAGAACAGTGGAAGGCTCAGATCCACACAGGCCATGCCGGCGATGAGGATGTACATCGGTGAGTGGAGGCTTCTCTGTGATATGATGACGTACAGCAGCAGGGAGTTAGCCAACAGTGACAGGATGAACATGATGAAGAAAGGGAAGAAGAGAACCAGCCTCAGGGCACCAAGTTCATTAAAACTGTTGAGGATGAAATATTTGTGAAAAGACTCATTTCCTCTTAGTGGCTCCATCCTCCCTCTTCTTGAAACTGACTTGTGCAGGTTTGAATTTGATCGTCCTGAAAACAGAGAAACATTGAAAAGTTATTTCACATCTCCACAGCTGCTGAGTCGTGTTTCTGTGAGGGACATTGCTGCGCTGGCTTTCTACAAACTCTGAATAAGACATTCAAAGTTACAAACTAGAGTATGGAGTGGGGGACCTCTTCTGCCTTTACAGTGAGTTTATCACTTTGGATCATATTCCAGTTTCTCTCTCACAGTTTTGATGAAACCTAACATCACATCCACACGTGCGACTATGAGGTGGCACTCGTCATTGGACTACACTGACGGAAGCTGTTCCAGAATGTGTCTCGCAAACTGCTGGAGCTGATCACACACACAAATATCCGTCTCTCCTAACAGTCTGCAGTGACCACTACATTAACACAACCACCAATAACACCACCTTTCAGAGTAACCTTCATTTCAGGTCGGGTTCTGATGACGGCTACGTTCAACAATTTTGCGGTTTTTATGTGTTAACTTTCTTTGTAAGGATTCTGGGTGTAGGGTCTGGATGGAGGGTCTGGGTGTAGGGTCTGGATGGAGGGTCTGGGTGTAGGGTCTGGACTCGACTAAAAGACGCCATGTTGGATTAAATAGTTTGTTTTATACGCTGTAGTAAAGACACCCTAACATATCAGATTAAAACAACCTGGATTTTTATTCAGACAAACGATGAATCTTTACTAACATGGCGTGATACGGACTGAATGAAAGAATGAGGAAATGAAAAAGCGTTTCTGAAAGAGGGCGGAGTCAGAGAGAAACTCGTTAAAGAAAACCTGCTCCTGACCAGGTGAGGTTCACAGACTCAGTTACCATAGTAACTGACTCAGAGGTAAAGTTACCTCTCTCCCTTGAACGGGCCTAAATTAGGCCCAGAAAACCCAGAGTTTCCCTTCTTTCAGGGTTAACGGACTCATTGTTTGCACACAAAACATGCTTACTGAAACAGGCCCCAGGTGCAAATCTTTATTCACCTTGTTGTTGTTGTTGTTCTTTTCGAGGGCTGCTACAATAAAACTCGACGTCACATTGAAGCCGTCCTCTATGGAGTGTCAGTATCAGCCAGCAGTGATTCTCCAGCTGCAGTGAGACTCGTTTGGCTGAAGGTTCAAGTCCCGACTCCCCACACAGAAACACCAACGGTTGAAGGAAGATTTGTTTATCTTATCATCATTTTCAGTGTTTTAATAAATGTTTAATCACACTCTTATCTCTAATGAAGGCTGTGACGTTTGAAACCCT